TTCTTTCTTTCCAATTTCTTTCTTCACAATTTTCTTTTTTATCCAAAATAAACAGTACTACCTCCATCCTAAAAAACATTGACATTTTCAAATCTTTGATCAACTATATATTTTTATTGAAATTATTTATAATATAAAAATTATATGACAAATGTTCTTTGTTAAAGTACTTTCATAAACATTTAAAACTTTTAACTTTCATAAAATATACTAATTAAAATCATGGTTCAAATTTTATGATATAACAAAGTTTTTTGGGACGGAGGTAGTAGTATATAACTACATTCTCCAAGCCAATAGTAAAATAGGATGAAGAAAATATTCGTTGCCACACATTGTACATACCAAGTTAGTTACGCAAATGAATTTGAAACCTATTATAACTTACCAGAAAAACTGAGCAGAGCTGAGATATCCCAGGTGTGACTAATAATGGATTTCCCAGTCAGGAAATTCGTAGAACATTTCAAATACAATAGTTCATTGATGCAAGCATAGATGTAAATGAACCATCAACGAGAAAAGGTCACAGAAGGCGAACCTGGCAGATACGAACCCAATGGCGAGAGGATGCCCTAATGACCTGATCGCAAAACGTAGATTTTCCGCTGCCCGGTGCACCCACCAATATCACCATGATTGCTGAACTGCCCTTGTCTTGTTGTACTCCTTCAGTTGTTCCTGGTTTCAGAAACAGAGAATTTAAGCAAGATATCTTAAGGAATGGAAACAAATTCTTTTATCAATCGGAGCATTCAATGACCTCCGGAATTAGCGTCCCGATCAATATCCATTTTCCCGTGGCAAATTAGTTCCAGGTGTAGACCGATGTTCAACAGTTGCTGAGCTTTGAGTGCCAGAGCTTTGAATGTAAATTTATAATGGAAATGACCCAATTAATTAGAACAATTAAATTAAATACTCCGAATAAAATGTTTATTTTTGGGATAAATTTATAAAACCTGAACTATAACCTTCGAGTTCTGGTCCCAATTTGGCAGAAGAAAAACCAACCAGTTCTGGTCCAATTTGTGTAATCTTGTTTTGTGTCCACCCCTATCCTCAGCTAGGATTGGGTTATTCAGCTAGAAATGTAGGATATCCTCAGCTAGGATTGGGTTATTCAGCTAGAAATGTATGATATCTATTTATTGGGAGATTTAGGATTTATAATGGCAAATTGTTAAGATGAAATTGTTGGTCTTTTTATGTGAAATCCTTTGACCATTTTATGACGTATATGAGGTAGTAATGCAACTTCCTTCTGACATGCTACTAATTAAAAAAGTTCTTTCAAATGATAAAGAGGGGAATCCTTTGACTTTTAAACCAAGATGGTTTAACTTCTTCTTTTTTTTAGAAAAGGAAGTTTTAGTAAGGAAAATAGAAAAAGGAGTACAAGTGAAATAAAAAATAAGAAAAACCAAAGAGAAAAAAAGGAAAGCAACAACAAGAAAAAGAATCGCCCAACCCCAAGTACATTCTTGCCCAACCCAATAGACCATAACTCCCTTTGTCAATAATGATAACCTCAGTGCTCCTCGCGAGATTGAGATCGCGTTCTCATTCGGTGTGAACGTGGAGTCCTCTTTATGTTTGTCTGGATGTTCAAATTATTTGTAGGCAAACAGTTATCCCTCGTAACAAGCAACGCCTTATTACAAATATTTTGATTAGAGTCAAAATCTCATAAATCATCCACCGTCGATATAGGAGTACGCTTTTCATTCTCTGATGTGTGACCAAGATATGTATCCCCCGAATCATCATATGCTCCCATGCCCCAGGAGTCATGCTCTAGAACTCCACAATTTGAGAAATTTGGGCGCTCAAAGTGCCAAACGAAAGAGTCTGGAACTATTGTATTTTCTTTGATCTTTTCTGACCGAAAGCCTCCCTTGCCAGAACTCCCTTGCTCAGTAGTAATCCCGTCCTTATATGGATTATTTCCACAACCCTCGTAAAGCTGTGCAATGATACGTTTATACTTTTTTGAAAGAAAAGCTATCAAATTGGTCACACTCGAATTCATAATATCCTAAAAAACGGCACAATACGAGAAGGATCAAGAGATGAATCTTTATCAGGAAAGTCCAAAGTGTTGTGAGTACTCTCAGAAAGTACAAAATCAGGGTGCAGTAAGGCGTCTGAAATTGTGAGCTCCTTAGTCTCCAAATAGTTGGCATTGTTTATTATTTCAGCATTAGAACAAGAAACTCCATTCAGAGTTAAAGATTCTTGTTTAGGAGTTGATTCCTTCATAGTAGAGATAGCCCGTGAAAGACCTGCAATAAATAGAGTGATATTAATTCCATTTTTACCTTCGGGTATAAACAGGGAGTCTGCGCCCGAAGAAATTCTAACAAATCCTCTGAAATAATTACCATCCAAAAGGAGTGCAATACATTTGCTTAAAACCAGTCTTGATATGACTTTTCCAGGTCGAAGCTTTAGCAAAGATTCATTCAACCAAGATGTTTAACAAAAGTACAATTTCATAAAAATTAATAAGTCAGGAAGACAAAAGTCGCTTGACGGATTGAATTGAAATTTTGATCTAATGTAAAGTAGTATGGTCTAATAGATATCTGTTGTACGTATATAGTGTATTTTACGATTAATGATGTATGGTTTGATTTGATCAGTTTTAGTCTGATCTAATCCGATTTGATCTAAATTGAAATTAGTTCAATTTAAAACATACTACGTAAAAGAAAACCATTTGTACAAACTTTCTTATACACACTTCTTATACACGTCTGTGAGTAGATTATTTTTTTGTTTGTGAATAGCTTATTCACACATAAAACATGTTGTTGTGAATAAGCTATTCACAGACAAAAAAAAACCTGCTGACAGACGTGTGTACAAATAAGAGCCCGTTTGGTAGCATGAAAATCGGTTGTTTTGGCTGATTCTGCTGAAATTTATGAAATTCTGGCTTAAGTGGCTGCATTGGCTGATTCTGCTGATTTAAGAAAAAAATATTTTTAAAATTTATTATATTAATAAAATGAAGAAAAAATTATATGCAAAAATAGCTAAAATGATCATCTACAGTAACTTCAGACAATACACCTAGAAAAGTAACTTTAACCTTACTTTTCTGCTTATTACGGAGTACATAATTCAGCGCGGAAAACAAAAGTTACGTATTTGGTCAAAAAGTTGGTTGATAAGCCTTAAAACAATGTTGCCAAACTACCTCCAAGTGTGTTAAAGAAAATTATTGTTAAAGCACTCTTAAGTTATTTCTGGTCACCAAATGTACGTTAAATCAATACTCCATAACTTTCTGTTTAATTTGCAAAATTTTCTATTTTAATAATTTTTCGCTTTTATTTTACTTTATCACTTTTACATTTACTTAATGGAAGTTCCCGAAATAGGACTAAAACAGTTTGGAAATTCCAAAATAATACTGTCATGTTTTTATCCCAAAATATGAGTAATTACTATCAAGTTTGTAAAATACTGTCATGTTTGATGTCTGTTACTGCCAAAACATGACAGCAATTAGTCCTTTTTTGAGAATAAAAACATGACTATTCTATTTTAGAATTTTCAAACCATTTAAGTCCTATTTCGAGAAATATTCTCTTTACTTAATTGTTTGTACTTTATGAGAGATACTACTTTATTTATACTTTCCTTAATTCTTACTAGTATATGAGACTACTTTTGCAAATCATATTGGAATGGGGGAGTAATTTTCTATATCCACAAATCACACTACCAAGCAAGGATCAGCTTTTGAAAATGAGCCAACAATAGACAATAAGATTTATATACGACCTCCAAATCCCAAATTAAAGCTCATCAACAAGTTAATTTGTGATTTGTGAATATAACAGTACATTGTAAAGCTCAGAAAACATCGTAGAACATTAGCTCATTACACTTGAATAATATCCAGAAAAATGTTGTTCACTCATCAATCAAGAATGATTTGTGTTTTCAGGAAATATATGTTGCTGAGTTTTAATTACTTATCAAGTCTTTATCATAGCACAGTGCATTGCTTCAATTCCCAAATTTTTATGGGGACCAATATACAAACAAACATTAAAAAATCAGAATGCGGAGAATGATTTTTACTATATACCGTAAAATATTTTAAACCCTTGAATCGGCAGTTGGCACAATTAATTACCTCATCAGTCATCAAATACATATACTTGTATCTTGTAGAAAAAACTTGAGTATAACAAAATGAAATGTTGTGGACCACATATTTCTTTTCAAAAAGGAAAATGTGACACTTATTTTGGTACAATCCAAAAGGAAAAGTGACAAATAAAATGAGACGGAAGGACTAATATTTTCAAGTGTAGATAATAATTTATTTCCATCATTTGCAATAGAGCCAAAGACTCACTATTTTTTGGATTGATAATATGATGGAATAAAGCAAAATGACTCACTAAACTGTCTGCGCTTCTTTGTTATGAAGCAACAGTTCATCCATGCAATTTTTATGTGATTTTCACTATGGGTTATCTGGAAACAGTCTCCCTGTGCTTTAGTACAGGGGTAAGGTTGCGTACATCCGACCCCCTTACCTCACCGTAGGTAGGAGCCTTTGCGGCACTGGAGTAATGATAATGATAATGATACAAGATATCGTTCAGAATTTACCCTTCACACGGGGCTTTCAGTATAAAATGTGACCAGCGCAATTTATAAAACTTTGAGCTATTTATTCAGTTTTAGGTGTAAGTTGTCCTTCAACCCAAATATTTCTAAAATATACTCGGGCCTATAGGTTTCATAAAAATAATAATCCTAATAAACACGTATTATAAGTTACTAAGAGAGTGTTTGCAACAACTTAAAAAAATAGTTCTCAATTTTTGGCTTAAAAAGCACTTATTTACCAAACACTACCAATTTGAGTATAACAAAATGAAATGTTATGGACCACATATTTCTTTCCAAAAAGGAAAATGTGACACTTATTTTGGTACAATCCAAAAGGAAAAGTGACAAATAAAATGAGACGGAAGGACTAATATTTTCAAGTGTAGATAATAATTTACTATCTAGGCTGACAAGGTTGGACACTCTTGACCTCTCAAACATCTTTCCTATAGGCCAACCACTTGCACTTGAGAATCCTAACCTAAAGCAATTCTTTGATGGTTCAAAAGAACTAAGGGAGCTTTATCTAGACGGCGTTAATATATCTGCACAAACAAATGGATGGTGTCAGACTATATCTTCTACCCTGCCAAAATTAAGAGTACTAAGCTTAAAAAGCTGTCGACTTTCAGGGCCCATTGATCCTTCCCTTCTGAAATTGCGCTTTCTTTCTGAAATCTATCTTGATCGAAACAATTTGTCCACTGTTGTTCCCGAATTCTTAGCTAATTTCTCAAACTTGAAGATCTTGAGCCTAAGTTCCTGTAATCTGAAGGGAGCATTTCGAGTAGAGATTTTCCGTTCACTCTGGGGTCTAGAAGAATTGGTTTTGGAGTATAATCAAGACCTTATTGGAGAGCTTGCACCATTTCTAGAGAACAGATCACTCAGGAAGATTTCAGTAAGCAACACTCAGTTTTCTGGTCAGCTGCCAGCTTCCATAAGCAATCTGAGCAATTTGTCTCGGATAGATATCTCATACTGCAAATTCAACGGGTCAATTCCGTCTACAATGGGAAAACTCAAGAGTCTTTCTTATGTGGATTTCTCATTCAACAATTTCTCTGGCTCAATGCCAAATTTCCAATGGTCACACAACCTTGCTTACATAGACTTCTCTGGGAATGCCTTAACAGGTCCACTTTCTTTCAATCATTTTAAAGGCCTTTCGGAAATTGTGTATATAAATTTAGGGTCTAATTTTCTATCTGGAAGAATTCCACCGTCTCTTTTTTCACTCCCCTCATTGCAGAAACTTCTGCTTTCTAATAATTCATTTGATCAGGTTGATGCATATTTGACTGCATCTCCCGCCTCTCAGTTGGATACACTAGACTTGAGTTTTAACAATATAAAAGGGTCCATTCCAAAATACTTCTTTGATCTTTCAAATTTAAAAGTGTTGACACTTTCTTCCAATTCATTTGGTGGAAGCATTCAGTTTAATAACCTCCACAGCCTCCCAAACCTCACAAGATTGGAGCTTTCTCGCAACAATCTGTCAGTTGATGTCAGTGGTTCAGCCTCCTCGTCCTTTCCGCAGATTACAACTCTAACAATGGCTTCTTGCCGGTTGAAAAAATTTCCAGATCTTCGAAATCAATCAAGATTGATGCACTTAGACCTATCAGACAATGAAATCAGAGGGAAAGTTCCATACTGGATATGGGATGTGGGTAATGGAAGACTCAGTCATTTGAATCTGTCCTACAATTTTCTAGAAGATCTTGAAAAGCCTTATACAATTCCAAGAAATCTATACTTGCTTGACTTGCAACACAATCAACTGCAAGGCCAACTTCCTATGATGCCAGGTTCAAGCATTATCTACCTTGATTACTCACATAATCGTTTCAACGGTTCCATCCCAATAGATATTGGAAATATTAATATAGTTTTCTTATCACTCTCTAATAATAGCTTCATGGGGAGAATTCCTATATCCATATGCAATGCTTCGTATCTCCTAGTGCTTGATTTATCCCACAATAAGTTGAGTGGCCCCCTTCCGTCCTGTCTATTAGGCACCATTGGGACTCTTGGGGTACTAAACCTGAGGGATAATCAAATCATTGGCAACATTCCGGACTCCTTTCCAAGCGATTGTGCACTAAAAACATTAGACCTCAGTGAAAATTTCTTACAGGGAAGGATTCCCAAATCTCTGGTCAATTGTTCATCATTAGAAGTTTTGAATATTGGGAAGAACAAAATCGTAGATACCTTCCCATGCCAATTGAAGAACATATCAAGCCTTCAGGTCCTCCTATTACGATCCAATGGTTTCCATGGTCACCTTCACTGTGTTGATAATGCCAACCTTACTTGGCCAAGTTTTCAACTATTTGACATTGCTGATAATCACTTTAACGGCAAACTCCCCTCAAATTTTTTCTTGAGTTTGGAGGGAATGATTGGTAGCCAAAATCCTGTTAACTCAGGGTCCCACATCAGCTTTAAGTACTTGAGGCTCAGCAAGTGGTACTACGAGAGTAGAGTTATGGTAACCATGAAAGCAAACGAGATAGAACTGGTGAAAATTCTCAAAATCTTCACCTATTTAGATTTCTCAAGCAACAATTTCGACAGAATTATACCATCCACAATCGGGGCTCTTGATTCTCTTTACGTTCTAAACCTATCGCACAATTCTCTCACCGGGAACATCCCAAAAACAATCGGAGATCTGAAAACGATCGAATCGTTAGATCTGTCAGGGAACGAGCTACATGGATCAATCCCGCCGGAGCTTGGGAACCTCACATTCCTTTCCTACTTGAATCTATCACACAACAGACTCTCTGGTGCGGTTCCAGCAGGCGATCAGCTAAATACATTTGATGAGAAATCGTACCTGGGCAATCCTGGACTGTGCGGTTTGCCGCTCTTAAATAGTTGCGAGTCACCTCCAGTTTCCAGAGGAGACGAATCTGAGAGAGAAGCGGACTATGGTGAAGCAGAGATGGATTGGGAACCTACTGCTTTGGGATTTCTCCTGGGTTTAGGCGTATACCTTTGGATGCTTTTTCGTAACAAAAGATGCTGGGAAGCGTATGAACAGCTTGACGAGGTCCTTGGACGACTTTTTAGTCAAAGAAAAGTAAGAAGGCTATCTCCAGGGCGCTAAGTTCGTCCAAAATCTTAGACCAGCACACTGCTTCTACTCGAGAAGGAGATCGATTTCATATTTGAATTTGTCTTTCCCAGTATTCCACTGAATAAAGTTTATACAAGTACTACAAGTATTTGTATATAATTTCTCCAAAAGGTTAATCACTTAATTCCCAAAGCTTCTACGCCTTCCTGATAAGGCATACTAGAGATTGTAAATATCTGTAAGGTATATTAGAGATTGGAAATTATGTTGATTCAATCGGTTTAATATTGATACTGATAGATTTTGTACTCGTGCGTACAAAATCTTGTAACTATGTAGAAAGGTGAAAACTATGTACACAATATTAATACCCTTCTTTCCTTTCTATCTACCATTCTATCCACAATACTCCTATTTTATCCGATTGTTTTTCTTCTATTCCTTTTTATCTTGAAAAAATCATTTGTACACTTTTTTGTATTACACACCTCTACTTAAGAGTGTACACAAGCAGCTCGTTTTGAAGCTCATGTGTACGCAAGCAACTAACCAGTGTTACAACAAAGTTGTACTCCATCCGTTCCGCAAAATAGTTCTCGGTTACCTTTTTTGGTCGTCCCAACAAATAGTTCTCATTTCCCCGTTTGGAAAGTTTTGTGTGACTCACATTCATTTACTTTTTTCTTACTCAATCGCAATCATATATTTCCACTTTATTCCCATTTTCTTAAACCCCGATTCAAGTCAATGCGGGAACTATTTTATGGGACAGAGGGGTACAAAAAAGATGTACAAGTAGCATGGCTCTTTAATCTTTACCATCTTCATCTTTTCTTCAACATTCTTCTCTTCTCTTCCTCCTTATCTCCAAATATTTTACTACTTGCACAAAATCCCTCCCTAATTTTCTTTTTATGTCCTTTTTTTTATTAATAGTATCTTTTAATTTTTTCAAAATACAAGTCACGCACCCAACTTGCCAACTGCACCATGCATTGATTCGGACCTAGTGACAATTGCATATTTTGTTCATATAACTACGGTTGATGTCACAGATAATTACAGTTTATCTTACAGACAATTAAAATTAATTTCCCGGACAATATTCTTTGTGCGATGAATATTCATTTGAGAAATTCATAAATTGGTTCTATAAAATATAATTTCATGTTCATAGGCAATAATTATTTGCACAGACGGACATTATACACATAGAGATGAGTTTGCACACAGGCGTTGAGCTAGCATGCCTGTTAGGCAACTATTGCTACTTTTTGATGTAAAAACTAATGCTTGTGAGTTGTGAGGATAGACAACTAAAAATGTTTCTAAAACTTTATGGTAAGAAAAGAAACCAAGAAGAATTATGACATAAATGAAACTAGTAGAGAAATGCAAATCAAATCAAAAGCAGCAACAAACCAAGAAGATCGAAAAGAATGGAATATAGAGAACACGCCCATACTTGAAGATTCCAGATTGGAGAAGAAAAAAAGGGGTTTTTTATTATTCCCTCCGTCCCGAAAACAACCTCCCGGTTTAACTTTCACACACTTTTAGAAAATAAATTTGACTTTACTATAGAGTGCACTGTTTTGCACTGTTTAAACACTGTTTGGCACTGTTTGAACACTGTTTGACACTGTTTATCACTTTTTTGATGTAGATAATTTGTCAAATAAGAAAAGTATTGAAATGTGAAATTAATTTTGGAACATCCATTTAAGGAAAGTGAGAAGTTTTTGGGACGGAAAGAGTAATTACTACGTACGACTGTACGAGTATAGGGAGGTTGGGGAAATGTGACGTGAAGGGAAAATAAAAGAGGGGTCGACCGTAGAAGAAGGCTTTGTACGCGTAAGGGTAAATGTCATGGTCTCAAAGTAAACAAAGAGTATTTTCAATAACAGTATTTAACTCTTATTTAAGAAGTGAAGAAAAATGTGAGTAAGTGTACGTAATTGTTCACTCTTATTTTTAAGTGTATTTTGATGCTTTTTAAGTAAGTGTACGTTGTAGTAACAGTAATATACTTATGTATTATTTTATGTGTCTCAATTTGACTTTGTTAAGATTTAGGGTTTCATCCTAAAAAGTCAATCTAATAGGAGGAGTATCTTATGTGTTAATATAACATTTTGTTCATCCAAACTTTTCTAGTGTGGGACATTTAACATCCCTCCTCACGACCAGACACTTAGTTTGGATCATGACTTCATTCTTTTTTTTTCATCGGTCTGCTTTTTCATCTGACCGTAATTGTAATTTTTTTAAGTAATCGTGTCATCATTCTTCATAAGGGGCTCCACACCATGGATCAATTTGGCTCTGATACCATATTCAGACCCGGGGTTCCATCCTAAAAGATCAACCTGATAGAAGAAGTAATCCAGATCTTAATATAACACTGAATTCTTTCATACATTTCCGGTGTTGGAATTCAACACCCCTCCTATCAGGTTAAAAAATAAAAGTTGTGATTAAAACTTGAGTATAAAGTAAAATGTTGTAGATCACATATTCTTTCTCAAAAGAGCAAATGAGACACTTAACTTGGAACAACTTAAATGGGGAAATATGTGAAAAGTGAAAACTACCTTTAAGTCCTCCAAATTTCAGTCGAGGTAAAGAATCCAATTTAAAAGTACGGAACAAAACTCAAACAAGTGCGGCTTTGTAGAATACTATCGAGGCCGGACAAAATCACACCCAAGTCGATCAATTATATTGATATATGGAGTATAAAAGTAAAATTGAAAATTCACATATACGAAGTACACTGTTACATACAATGTCACAATGATACATATATATATGAAGTTAAAATTGAAACAAATAGATGTGCAGTTAAATTGGTTAGAGCGATTGGATTGATTGATTTAATTCGTCCATTTTGATGAAATTTATGAAGTTATGATTGAAGTGATTGGATTGATTTATTATACCTATCTATGAAAATAGTCCTCAACCGTAATTTTGGTCAATTCAATCTGAAAAACTATTTCAATCTTAATTAGGGGGTGTTTGGATCTGATTCTTAATATTGCTTCTACTCCTTCAAAGAGCAGAAATAGAAGTTTGGAATGTTTGGGTGAAAGTGAAAAAATACTTATGGTATTTTAATTAACTTCAAGAAACTGTTTTTTAGAATCTTGTGCAGAAGCAGAATCAGTTTTCATCACCTCATATTTTGATCATTAAACAATTCAGCATGCGAAATCAAAAATTATGTGCAATATGTGTTTGACTAATAAGACTTATAAACCTAAATATAAAATCATGGTAGACAATAGGGGATTAAATTCTATTTGCCCCACATGCCCGAGCTCTACTCATTCATAGACACACGTATAAAATGAGTACGTACGTAGAGTCTTAAGCGTGTACGTATGAATCGCTCCAACATACACCAAAACAGGTACCTATTTTGCAACAAACAAAAAGTAGGTTCAAAACACTAATTACACAACTCATAACTGTCCTTTGTTTCAACACCCTACGTACACCCAAAATGCTACTTCTTCTCTTCTCTTGCACACTCATCCCTACTTTAGGGATCCCCATTGATGATAATCCCAATTCAGGTCCTGGAAGAGCTGGGGCATTGCCAAAAGGTGATGTGGATCTGCTGGAATTTCCACTCAATTTGGAGTACTTGGAAGCTGAGTTCTTCTTGTGGGGTGCCTTTGGGTATGGCCTAGACAAATTTGCCCCCAATCTTTCCTCCGGCGGGCCGCCCCCGGTCGGCGTTACATCGGCCAAATTAAGCCCCCTTGTGAAAGATATAATTGCTCAATTTGGGTTTCAAGAAGTTGGACATTTGAGGTTAGACACCTTTGTTATTTGCATATGTGCTAATTGTTTAGTAGATATGTAATCTTTAACAAGTTCTGTGAAATGTTTTATGCCCCGTTGATGGATGACAAATTTATCATGCTAGATCTCATTTATACCCCTACCACCATATATAGCCAAAAGGTGTTTCTACATTTGTTAGTTACATTTATAAGAATAAAGTTCTCCCATCCATAAAATTAAAGGAAAATGTACACTTTCCGTCCCTTTTAGTTAGTAATTTTTTACTTTTTCAACAAAAAGTGAGATTTTGATTGATTATATGTGTATTTATGAAAATAATTATAATATGAAATTATTAAATTTATTGATCAAAGTTTACCAACATTAATTGAAAAAGTAAGAATTGCCTATTTGAAAAGGAACGGAGGTAGTTATTATTATTTCACTAAAATAAAGTAAGTGATATATTCAAAAATATCACTATTCTTACTAAAATGCAAGTCATACTTTAATGGAAATTATGTAAGTAGATTGAAACATACTCCGTATGTAGTAACACTGTTTTTAAGTGGTTAACGATCTTTTTTTTAGCGTAGTGGTTAACGATCATTAACCCTCAAAAGAAATTGTTTTAACTACTTTTATTTTTTTTATCACGACTACATGGACTCTTATTTATTAGAAAAACAACTAGTCTCATGTTTTGTATTTATTTGGAACAATTTCTTTATTTTGATCTATGTTTATAAGTTTATTCCTTAAGGTATTTGGAACATTTTTTGTATTTTTTCGCGTCTCGACAAACAAAAAGCAAAAACGGTATTGGTAGCTCTTAATACATAACTTAAATGCAGAGCGATAAAAGAAACGGTGCCAGGTTTCCCGAGACCGCTACTGAATTTGAGCAGAGAAACGTTTGCAACAATTATGGACAAAGCATTGGGACACCCTTTGAAACCACCTTTTGATCCGTACGCAAATGACATAAATTATCTCATTGCGAGTTACCTCGTTCCTTACGTTGGACTCACCGGTTATGTAGGTGCAAATCCTAAACTCCATAGCCACACTGCCAAAAAGGTATACTATTTTGATGTCCGAAGTGCATACATAATAGTATCTTCGTCCCATTTTATGTGTCTTAGTTTGACTTGACACAGTTATTAATGAAATGGTTCAAAAAGTAAAAGTTGAGGTTTGAGTATAATAAAGTGAAATGGTGTAGGCCACATATTTCTCCCAAAAAAGGAAAGAAGACACTTATTAAAAACCGGAAGTGTGAAGTTTATTTTACATGAGAATCTCATATTAGACACTTATTTAGAAGACACTTTATCTAATTTAACAAAGTAAGGATCAAATTGGACATTATGGTTACATGAGAATCTCATATTAGATACTAAAGTTTCAAATGGATCAAATTGGACACTGTGGTTACATGTATATCATAATGGACGTTAAAGATTCATAATTCATAGTTTTTAAACACTCACTTATAATTTTCTTCTTCCTTTAATAAAAATTGTTAGTCTTATTTCTCCAATTTTTCAATTTTCTCGTTTAGCTCACTCGATAGTATTGAAATTCAT